TTTCCTCAGTTTTCAGAAGAAACCAAGGTATAAAGACTGAAGATATGATGCCTTTGGCTGACAAGGCTGAAGAAATCTAGACAATAAGGTGCAAATCCATATGGAACTCATCTTTGTCTACATGCAGCCCAAGAAGACAAGTTTATTGACTAGTACCTTCCATTGAATGACCTTAACATAAGAGTTTAACCAGTAAAAGAGAAAACAAATGATCCCACAGCAAAATAAAGCAATATTAAGCAGGAATTTGTCAGTGCAAATATGAATGCCTCCCATTCTCTAGTGAAATATAGTTTAGTAGACTTTGCTTTACACAAATTATTGTTCTGTTGCATTAGAATATGGGCAGTAATGGAAGAAGAGTTTATTAATAAATGAACTGTTAGCGTACACCATAGTGTTGACAAGAAGATACTGACACTGAGGCTTTCCAGAAAGAGTTATTTCACAGTGGAAAAGAAGATTTGCAGAGGAATATGCATGCATCTTAATTTTGAATATGAGGACAAGTAGGATTCATCTCAAATTATTACACAAACATGTTGCCAACAGTTAAATAAGTTACAAATGCAGAAAGGAATCTTATCTGAGCAAGAAATATGATGTTTTAATCCTGTTTCTAACATTTTCTGCTGTCTGTGTTTGCAAAGACTGTTAGTAGGTGTTTATTCATTTTTTCTCTTAATTTTAATTCCCTGTTACCTAAGAGATCCACACTTCCTTACTCTCTTCAATTCAAATGTACCAGCAGATTTTCCTGCCATAGAAGATTCAGGATGCTCCCCTATACTTAACAAATAATGGGCTGCTCAGATGGGCAGAGGAAAGCCAAGGGCTGCACCCCCGAGATCACACAAGAGTGAAGCTGCACCTTAGATTTGGTGGTCAGCACTGGATAGAATATTGCTTCAGATGTCATACTTCATTTACCTCACAACACAATGCATGAACAGAAAACAAAACCCCAGAAAAGCACTTTGCAAAGCACTGAATTTTTAAAATATGCCTTCCTAAAAACAGAATTCACAATTTTAAATTTTATAGTGTGGCAACAAAAATTATGATCTGTGCAAATCTTAATACAGTATTTTACATGTGTAATAAAATATGAGTCCATCTCACATATTAATATGTTTAAAAGAATTTATTTTTATCTAGCCAATGAGAAAATATTTGCAACTCCTCGAACCATATTTTATAAATATATTGGAAGGCTAGGTACTCTGTTTAGTATTTCTGATGATACTCATGAAATAATATTAGTAACCCCCAGATACAAGTATTCTTGTCTTTTGTATAAAGAAAAGTATGTGTGGGTTTATTCTTTAGTTTCCATCTGAACTGAAAGATTATGATCTATTAGCATGATCTACATTGCCCCAGAAAGTTATTGCACTGATGAATGGGATAGGGATTTTAAAATAGAGGATAACTCTAGTGAAAATTAACAATTTAGCTGCAAGACTGCTTAATGGGCTAGGCATATATTCGTTGGTATCCTTGGAAAGATTGTGTACATGAAAAATATCCAAGAATCTTCGTGAGTTTTGCCTGTAGTTATTACAAGATAAATTTTCAATGAAATCTCCACCCATTTTCCATTTACACGCTTGGAAATGCAGGTTGCAATGGTAGCACAGCTAGTCTGTGCACTACCTTTTAACAAGATAGATACACAGAGACAGAATATTAACTTGCCTATAATACCGTAGAATCATAGAACATCTCAAGTTGGAAGGGACCCAGAAAGATCATCAAATCAAAGGACAACATGCATACCATATGCATATGGAAATTCTATAATATCAAAATAGTGTTCCATAGGGTTAGGCCAGGCAGATAGGCAATGATAAACAACAGTAAACCACTAAAGAAATGTTTACTATTTGACCATTAGGCTGTACTGCAAGATAGCCTTTGACATCCTTAACTATAAGGCTATTGTCTGTCTTCCTCCTTACTACTCATACCATTCTCTTCCTCCATTACGCTTTGTTGGAAAATTCTCCATTTTCTTTTTGTCTTAATTTTTTTCTCCTCTTGCTAACATTTTCAAGTAACAGCTATCTAGGAAAGTTCAGATTATGCCTTTGCCTTTTCTCCTTCCCCAGGTAGGTACCCATTTCAACCACCATTTTTAAGCTACTCCCAAACATAAATTCATACACATGACAAAAATAAAAATACTTTTTTCCTTGGAGCAGGATAAGTCATCTTTGTCCAGATTTTTGCTATAAACTTTTCTCATATAAACTAGAAATGAAACCACAAAACTTTCCCATGTTTCCATTAATTAATTTTACCTTTAAGTCACAGCTAGAGAGTTTTATAGCACAAAGTTGCCTGAAAACACAAATAATTTGGAATGCAAGAGTTATTTCTCTCTCAAAGGTGCTCTTGCAGCTCAAGGGAAGACCGCTTATTATTAGAAAACTCATCACTAATATTTGCTTATCATAACCTTCCCCAAAGATTATTTGTGAAGCAAGCCTACAGAAAATCACGGCATGCCTCGGGTATGCTAGTCTCTGAACAATGACACTGTTGAAGTCATTCACAGGCACCTTCCTCGTGGCATCACTGGAGGATGTATCATCCTCTTGCATCATATTCTTTTCAGGTCAGGTCTTAATTAACACTTTGAGTCATACTGGCCCCAACAGTAAAATCTTTTGTGTAATCATTAGTAGCAGTTCCACTCAACTCCACTCTTAATTTCAAAGAAAATGTGACCTAGCAGATTTAAGAAGATTTAAACTTTAGAGAAATAATTCAGCTTCACTACATAAAGTTTACAAAATGCCAGCATAAGGATAGTCTTTAAAAAACAGAAGAAAGAGAAATACATATGGAAGGTGAAGAAGTTCTTCTAGAAGAAAGTAACAGTTCAGATGCAGGACATAATAAGTGAATGTCTACTGTGTATAAAAATAATCCAGAGGAAAGTTTAAAATCAGAAGTCACTGAAAACTCTGATATAAATCCAGGATAACTACAAATAGAAAAGCCAGTATAAATATCTGAGCCATTAGAAGCAACTGGACTTATGGAACACCCTTCCCCCAACTGAATCTTCTTTTACATCAGGGAACTGCATCGTATTACTGTTTTCAACAGAAGACTGTGGGCTTGCCTGAAGGGAGGCAGGGACTCTTCTTCCATACTGACAGAAAAACTGTTCTGGAATCTCTTCTAAAGCATGAGATACTTAATTTTCTTGCAGCTTTAAGATCAAACCACCACAGACACACACAAACCCTTACATTAATCTTGAGTCACAAGAAAGTATAAGGTTTGGCTGTGGTAATTTAAAAACATCAGACTTACATGGCTTGATGTGAAAATAGTGGAAAAATTGGTACATTCACAAAGCTCTGCAAATGACTTATAATATTTTGCAATAATAATACCAAGTCCACAGAGTATTACATAAACAGATGCCCACTGCATTAAAACAGGAAAACAAAAAATCATACCTATTTTGCACTTGAGTGAAGCAGAGAAGCTTTGGCCTAGGTAACCCTGATGTACACTTCATGTTAGGGAAGCTATGGGAACTGAAAAAGTGAACTCCTCTTAAGAATAAAAAGGCAGGAGAATGGGTACGTCCTGTGGTACCTATTCATTCATAGCAGGCAAAACAAAATCCCACTGCCTACAAGAAGGCTAGTCCTGAAGACAGCTTGCAAACAGCAGTTTCACTCTCAGACTGCTTTTTCAGCTGCATGAAACTGTACTGGTAAGAGGACTGCTTGGGTGGGACTCATCTCCAACTTTATACCAGACATTTACACTGAGGCTCCTCTAAAAGAGAAAGCGAGAAGTGAGTACTTCTGGGCTGGAGTTCATTTCATTTTAAAGTCTTATTCAGATCATGTCAGGTCAATCCTGACTGAGAAATGTCTGTTTTATTCCACTGCACAAAAAAGGAGCTTAGGACTACCAGCTGAGTAGATGTCTACAGTTAGGTGAATTAATCCCTCTTTCTTCTCTCTTTAACTTTAAATGACACATCCAAACTCATCTGCAAGTCTATGTGGATATGTATTGCTCAGGGAATCCCAGTTTGCTGTTCCACCCTTTAAACCTATGTCTAGTAGTTTTAGTCTGTAAAAAGCATGTTTATGAATTCATCCACAACCCCCTATGCATGTTTGTTCAGCATCTTCTGGAAAGCACTCTAAACTCTTATACGAGCCAGAGTGATGTGAGTAGGAATCATAAAAATCTGTTACCCAGGTTTGGTGTCTTACAGGATAGAAGAGAAAGGGACTGCTGGCAAAAGCACTTTCAAGAAATAGCGACTTCTTATTTAAAGCATGAAGAATTGTGAGGTTACAATGCAGCACGGTCTTCCCACTAATAGTTCAAGATTAAATTTGCTGATATGAAACATGATTGAAACACAAATAAAATTAGCAAGTCAGACACAGAATAGGTATGGAAATTAATCTGATTCACATATGGTTACATTTGTTGAAGAAGGGTAAGTTGCTGCCATCAGGAAAGACTGAATAACACAGACCAAATATCAACAAATATAGTTAGTGTACATACACACTATATAGAATAGTACCAAAAGGAACAATCATGACTTCAAAGATACCATTATTTTTACATCACATTTTAAAAAGCTCTACTTCTTGTTTCCCCAACATCACTGCTGACTGTAGAGTACAGTGATCTTCAAGTCATAAACATTAATGTGCGTCACTTAGAGGAATATTTTCCAATCTATTTATAACTTGATTTGTTACTTGGCTGTGGTTCCTAATCTACCCATCAGTATTATGAGCATCTGCCCTATGCCAATGAACTAATGAGTTCATTTTCTACCATGAAGTCACAAGCCATCTTTCTACATGTCATATCCTATACACATCAGGCTGACATTGCCCGTAAGTGTGTAGGCAGCAAAAATAACAATAAACTCATGTTTCAATAATAAATAATGATTTTTTTAAAATGCTAAATAGAAAATTCAGTCCATTAGTACTCACCACCAAGGCTTTAGATCTGTTGCTCAGAAGCTTTTCAATGTCTCTGGCTGCAAGTTCCACAAGCTGACGAGGGTTGTTGGCTTCCACAGTATACAAATCTCTGTTTTTCAGATAAATCTGCAAGAGGGAAAAATGGAAATAAATCAAAATGGCAACAGACATTCAAAATCAGCAAAGTGACTTGACAGGACAGGCATCATGATGTCCTCTGTTTTTACTGCCGAGCTTCAGAAAGGTGTCTTGGATTAAAGAAATACTTCACCTTTTTGTTTGAGAGGTAGGAGGTGCCACTAAAAATCATTTAATACATCTTCAAAACTGACTGTGTCTAGTGATGGATAGTTCAGCTGCTAGATGCTCAACGAATCTGATTCCCATATCATGCTGAGAGAAAAGTAAAATGGAGATCCTCTGAAATGACTGAAATCAAATAGTTACTGCTGGATTGAATTCTTCATTGAATGTTGAACAACAACAAAAAAAAGTTCGAAGTAAATCATTTAAGTTATCCTAATGTAACGAGTTTAGAACCTTATTTATTATTTCACATGATAGTGAAGAAGAAGAAGAAAAAGACAAAACCAAGAAAGGAGACAAAAAGGCGAAAGAAGAAAAAAGGGGAAATAGGGAAGTCAAAGGAGGGGAAAAGATGGGGTGAAAGAAGGGGGAAAAGAACTATAATCATGTTACTCCTCTATCATGAGTAAAGGTTATGTCTGGTAAGATAAGATTAACTGTTTCCAAAGTGGAACATGTATATAAGGGATATAATTTGATTTATTAAACAAAGCCACTACAATGAAATGCACACAACCACAAGAAGTAATGAAGAAAAAAGTAGCAAGAAATCCACTTGCCTATCACTAGAACTGGATAACGCAAAACCACACTTTCTGGGGAGGGGGCAGGGAAAGAAAAAAAACTTATGGCTTGATAGGTAAATGGGGAAAACTAACCAATGCAACCAATAGATGGCCTGAGTTTACTCAAGTACTTTGCCTCTCCACAGCGCTGCCTGATGGGGGCCATGTTGTCTCCTGGGGAGTAATTCCAGGCACAAGCAGGAACGGGTCCAGCACTAATGCACTGGCTGCCATCCAACACAAGAACCAAGAAACTACAGACCAGACAGAGTTTACCAGCCTTGCCAGGTTTCTTGGCTTAAAACTGTGGAGACCTTAAAGAAACTCACCAAAATATGCTTCCAGTGCTTGTAGCTGATGGGTATTTATCACAGTCAAGTTTCTGACAACTACAGTCATAGCTGGAAATTTTTATTGGGCACATCTCATATGCTGTCATAGGATTTCAGCACTTTTGAATTTCACAACGATGATGCTGGGGTTTGGATTTTTTCCTTCAGAAGTACCATCTTTCCTTCCCATCAGTAACTGAGTAATTGGAATAAATATTTTATATAGCAGCAATTACTTAAAAAAAATCAGTTCATCATGAGCAGAAAACCACTACTCAGGTTACAGTTTGGATATTTTTTAGGTGCTCTATTTTCAAAATTGCTCCATAAAATGTTTATCTTCAGTATAATTTGGAGTATAATTTGGTATAATCGACTGCAGCTACCAGAAAAGCCTTACAGTCCTACAGGCAGAGCAAGAATAGAAATCAGTTTTATAGGTCCATGGTTTCTTGAATCAAGAATGGAAATTTCAGAGGAGCCTCAAAACTAGCAAAACTCTCAGGTTATCCCGTCAAAAGCAAATATTCACCCTGATCACATAAGGAACAGACACTGGAATGTGGGTGTTACAAGGTGTTTGCGTCTTATAATTTGAAGAGAAGTGAGTACCAAATTCTTTAAACTTCATTTGTGACTGTGTGAAGTGCACCTGCATCAAAAGTTATTAGGTTTATAGAAGAATGGTCACAAGATTCTATAAATAGGTTAGAAGAATGTAAAATAACTTTCACAAAAGTTTTTAAATAACAAGTTTATTCTTATTATTAAGTTTATGCTTTAAGAAGAATGCTTTTAATAAGAACTTTAAAGCATACTTTTATTTTATTTCTGAAAATATTTCCTTTGTTCAATGTTTTTCTGGTTTCGTTTTTGCAGATCTATTCATGCAGTTGCTTTTCAATTGCTACTCAATGGTGAAAGCAATGAAAATGTCAATACAAACATGTTTCCTTTGAAAGTTTTAACTAAGGAAAAACATGTTAAAATTTGGAGAAAAAAATCCATTTCATTGTAATTAAATTGTTTACTCTAGTAATAAACACTTAGAAAGCCACAAGCTAAGAAAATATACAGTAGGGGCACAGTCAAGTATGTGCTCATGAAGGTTTGAAGCGATGGGTGAAAGGGATGACATGGAGATTGCACTGGCCAGCTACATAAGGACAAGTGCTGTAGATATTTAGAAATGTTTAAGCACTTAGTTAAGTAAGATTTCTAACAGGCTGTTACCTCACTGCCTCACCAGAAGTTAAGGTGATGGCACACTGTATCCACACAACCGTGATTTTCCACCCGACCAACCAGAAACCCAGTACAAATAATTTATTGGACTTAATGTTTCACTACAGAACAGTTAAGAGTAAGCAATGCTGGTAAGGAACTAAGAACCTGAACAGAAAGTTTGTACTTTCATCCTTATCTAACCCATCCTTATAGCAAACACATGAACCCCTAAACCCCAATCTAAAAACACTCAACCTTTTCACATACCCCATTCCTATAAGGACGTTGGTCCCATACCTACAAGCTTGAATGGTTTGAAAGCTGCAGACTACCAGAGCATGGTCTAGTGGGTGTATTTGTAAGAAAAAAACACACATTTCAATTTTTCTTCTCCAGCACAAGTTATCAGAATAGTTCAAAAACCTGAATCATTCAACAAGGAGATCACCACCACAAGAGAAAGGAGTTCTATTAATACTTAAGATCTTTCTAACAGGCACTGTTGGTCCTGCTGTGCACAAGATCCCATCTAGATTTGAGTTAGTGACTCTTTTTCTCCTCCTCCTTGCTTTACTCCGTGGCAGGGCTCAGAGCACCTACCTCCCCTGCTTCTGCTGCTGGTGACAGATTTATCCCACAAGCTCCTAAACAAAAGACATCAGAAATAATTCAGAATTGCAACAATTCTTTACTTTCCTGAAGTGTGAGACCTGCCTCAACTACCAAGGAATAGCTTAAGAATTATTCACTATTTATTGAAGAGGTGTGTACATGATTTAGTTGTTGCCTGCTTCCCTTCCATTCAGCTGTAGCACTGCAGCACTTCAGCACAGCTCCACATGGGGAAATGATACACGCCTCAGGATTTGGCACCCTGTGACAAACTTTTACTTCTCCAAGCCTCCCACCTAGAAGTCAAACACAATTAGCAGAAGCTCATCTCAAACAGACACAAAGGGTCTTATCAGCAAAGGTGTGCTCATTCGTCTTTCAAAATGCAATTTGGCAGGCTCTGTGGCTTGTTAAGAAGAGCTAATTTTAGTGCATTTTATTAAATTGCTTTGACCAAGTGAATACAAGCTCTGTTGGCTTTTACAGCTACAATATTTTTTAGTACTTTAATCACACATGTTTTGTGAAAAGCCCTCCCAGTTGTCAGCAAAACCATAGAGTTTCTCACAGAATAAAGCCTCATTACATGACTAACTAAAATCTGTAAGGTCAAAGAAAAAAAAACACTTCAATTTTTCTCTGAAGTCAATAGCCTTGTACTGCTTGATTCAGGGAGGAATGTAATAAAATTGCTTTCTCAATGCTGAATATGTATTCCGGTATAAAGAACTGCAAGGTGTTAGGGGAGAGAATATGATAGAGAGTCGCATTAGGGTGAAACAACACAAGAAGGACAATAGTTGACTGTGGTGAAGATTAGAAAATCTGACAGTTCCTCAGCAGAACATGGCCCTCTCCATTCAGTCTTCAAGGACATGTTTATAAATCTCTCACAAAGAGACATTCTCTTGTTTTATATAAGACTCGTGAGGGAAAATCAAACACTTCTGTACAAATTGGGAAAGAACGGAAGATGCACCTTTGTTATATGGCTCTTGCTACACTGTGGCCATCATTGGGATTGAGGCCCCCTGTAACAGTAAAATGTTATTTAAATGGTCCTTATTACACTCAGAAAAAGTTCCTGAAAGTAATAGATCATCTGTGCTTTGGATCTGTGGCTTCCCATGGCAAATTTCACCTAGTCCTTCCAAAAAGTCTCTTGCTTTCTACCACCACAGGGCATTAATAGGTCTCAATGACCACAACCTGCCTCAGTGGGAACCTTCACCTGCACTGTTGCTCATAGGCTCCATTTCAGTCCAGTCCTTGGCTATGGAATATGTATGCCTGTCTTCAGCCCTACACCTTCAATCAACCTTGACTCTATGCCATAGCTAGCCTATCTCCTGGATGAACCGCTCAGATGTATGCTAAATCTTTTCTCCAGTCCTGCTTCTTGGATGGATGTTGGATCTCACTGATGTAAGAAAAGGGGAGCCATCTGACAGACAGCCAAATATATGAAGAGATCTTGGGAGCAGGAAAAGTCAGAAAACAGAAATAATCACTCCAATCCATGTGAGTGATTATCATTGTTAACTTCTTTATTACTGTAGATATTTTCCTTGAACTCAAATTTTTAGTAGTCATAGAAAAATATATAATCTGCCCAGAGGCAGCTAATTTTATCTTCTTTCTACCATATCTTATTTCCAAAATTATACTAGTTCTTTCTATTTCTAATACATGCCATAGATTTCTCTTTCCTCACAAGACATTTCTTTTCTTTGAATCACAAGCCATCTATTGTGGAAAACATTGAAAAATGCTCCTTCCCAAGGAGCATTCTGTCTCTTCAAAGAACTCAGTCTGAGTATTTTAAATATGTCTTGCTCTCTGTTACATATAATGTATAAATAAGATTACAGCTGCTCCCTTGCAACTCACAGATGCCTTCATTCTTGAAATTCATAGCAACAACACAAAGGAAAAAAACACCCCAGTAGTTTACTGTAGCTGTTGTTTTTCAGAATCACTCATCTGATCACCGACTGCTGTAAAGGTCTGGGATGACAAGTGACAGGGCAGCTGATATGTCGAAAACCATGACATGTCATAGTAGTAATGTGCACATTAGGAA